AAAAGAGAAAAGAAAGAAAGGCCTGAGCGAGAATCCCTCTGTGAGCAGCAACTATTCACCTGAGTCAAAGACTTAAAATCTTTATTCTGAGGCCCTTTGTTTTACCAGATTAGCCCCTTTCCTAACTGATATGTAGCCTAATTTTTTATGTGCTAGTTTATAATGCTTTATACTTACTTACCCAAACACTTGGCTAATAAACTAATGAGATATTGAAAAACTCTACTTAGGGAGAATTATTAACTTACACTAAAATGATATAAAACTATACTGAGGCAAATTTTCCTCTCAGTGATTCTCAGAACAACTCTTGGCCTCAAGATCATCAAAATCATTATTCTGAGTATTAATTAGAGTGCAGTATATCTCTGTAGATGTTGGGTCTTGAGCAAATCTATAATAACCCCATGACAAGCTCCTCAAATTGCATTTTCAGAATAAACTCCAGAAGCACACTTTCACTATAATTTCTCTTCATTATGAAAGAAGGCTATAAGATTTTAAAAATAACATGAAATTTCTCATTGTTTGGAAGCTGAATAGGGGCATCATGAAGAATAACTTAACAAATATAAAATGATTTTATCGATTAAAAATTTTCAGTCACTGAAACTGCAAAGATTCAACATATTACATTGGTAATATAGATGCAAATCCATTAAGGAATCAGATGTTCAAAAGTCTAGAGTTTACATTTACCTGCTCCAATGACTCTTTCAATGCGAATTCTTGAAGGATCAATCTCTTTTGCAAATTCATGGACTGCTAGGGATGGGTCTTCATAGGTATCCGGATCAATGTAAGTTTTAATTCCTGGACAGCGTACTGCAACAAAAAGAAAGGAATGATTTAGCTTAAAGTATTGCAGAATTTATACAATTTGTGAATTTTTGAGAAATGACACATGTAAATAGTCAGCCTAGCTATACATTCAAATTCTTCTTTCCTTACTACCTTATCTGATCCAGCACTTCTTTAAAGCTTTGACTCCATGCAATTAAACATTTATTTACCTAAATGTTAATTTAAGATGACTATGTAGTTTCATAGAGTGAGCTGGAAAACATGTATTCCACAAAATACATGTTTTATTTCTCTAAAACTCAGCTTACCCATTAAAAGACCCATACAATTCACGTCTGACGTGGCTCATGAAAGTGGGGAATGAGGCCCAAGCTTCACCCCCAATGAGCCAGCTGTTTAGAGCTCCTCCTGCTTCCTTCACACTCACAGGCCCGAGGTTTTCCTGGCCTCATACCCTGATACTGTAGCCCTGACTCATCTCCAGAAATTCACCCTGATCATAGAGCAACATCTGTGCCACAGACACAGGGAAGGCAGCGACAAATCATGGCCCTTCTCTGGGTGCTCGTAGTCACCCAGAAGTGACTCATGGTCAGTAGTGCTCATGGTCAAACAGAGAAAGCTGTGCTTGTCTATCATGCCAGGAGGGACAGAAATCAAAGTCCTAAATCTTGTCACTGGTGTAGCTGCTGCTACTTCTACTAGTGGAGCTGTCCCGGATGGCGCTCAGTTTAAGGGGCAACTGGGGTGAGAAACCGAGTGCCTCAGAAAATATGAAGTGTGGTTGCCCGTTCATTTGTGATTATCAGAGCAAGTTACACCACAAATATTCTTGTCTTAGGCCTCAATTCATGCTCACTACTTTAGATTGCTGGTGTGTGGAGGGCAGGTTATTTCACTTCACTTTGGGATACTTCCAAATATCTTGCACATGGTTTTATAGGTAACAAGAACACAACTTTTACTGGGTGTGAATTTGTGTGGGTTAAGTGGCCAATGCTACATTTATTGCAGAAGGCCTGGTGTTTGCTTCACAGAAATGGCACAGAAGTGAAAGCCATAACAGTCCAGTGAAGTGTTGTTTGGGTCTCCTTAGAAACATGCTTTTGAAAGAAAATTTCAAGAACAAACAAACAAACAGTGAAATGGTAAATGTAGAGTAGGTGGTGCAGTGCCCATTTTTGGCAGAATTTGCTTCATTAATTCTTCTCTGCTTATTGCTTTCTTCACTTATTGCTTAGTGCTTTTCTTCACTTTTCAGTTTATGTTGGAGGAAGGAGAAAAGGAGAACTGAGAGTCTGTACCTCTCTTTTTATGCATTTGATAGTTTTTGAACTGAGTTGTGACTTGAGATTGAGCTCTGTAAGCTCAAATCTAGTAGCTACTAGTAGGTCACTAGTTGCCTCTAATTGGGTCGATGGACATGCTGAAAAGAGGCTCAGACAGTAGCAAGTGTCGTCTACTAATGATGCAAAGTTTTAACGACAGTTCTCTTATCTAAGGTGATACATTTCTATAGAATAAACTGATTAGTTAGCACCACTTTCTTTTTTGTAAACACAATCTACACGTTATAGGGGAAAATGTCCAAATGTAGTTTCAATTTTGAATGTATGGTTGCTCGTTTCACTTATCCTTGTCTTCTTTAATATCAGGTTGTCTTTCTTTTAGCTCCTTTGTTGCTACAGGTGATTTTAATTGCTTCTTGCTGAGCCCATCTGGTTTAGTTCATGCCAAACTGCTACTTAGAAAACAGAAAATAAATACCTCAGGAGCACCTTTTTCTGCAGTACCAAATGCCCTGCAGTGTATCTTAAAGTTACCCAGCATAAGTTATCTGTCCAGGTGTCTGGATCTAGGTTTCTGCAACTTGTTTTACAGTGTTTCCAGACCATCCTATGCCAAGCACTGGTTGTCAGAACTCTGTCAGTATTGTAGGACTCATATTTGCTATACAAAATAACAGTTTGGAGAGCTGCTGCAAATTATGTGCCTTAGTCCTACCCTCCGTCTTGTGAATCAGCACCTTGGGGAGTAGGGTTGGAATATGATAATACAGACAGTCCTTGGACAACTCCTTATCATAGGAGTCTTAGAAACAGCTCCAAACCATCCCACTGGTTTGTAAGATCTTTATTTAAATCCTTTCCCTCCCTTGGAGAGTGAATCAGATTGGAAAGTCCCTTGTGCCTTTTGCTTAATAGGAAATAAATGATGAGTTTAAACAGTTAAACAAGTTGTTTCATGTATCATCTGTGTACTACGCTTAATTAGTGAACACCCCTTTCTGTTAACTCAGTGACTCACCCTTAGAGAACATGTCTTGGCGAAGTAGTTTGCAATTTGGAGGTGGAGGTGGAAGTAGAGGTGGGTGTTAGGGAGGAGAGGATGGCAATTATCAAACCAACTATAGTGGTAATTATAGTTTGTTTGGGAAGAGACCTTCAAATGAATATAACCTTGTAGTTAGCGCAAGGATTTCATACATATTCTAAGAGTTAAAGAGCTGATACTTTTTTAGTGTTAATGAATTGTAAATTGCTTTGTTATATGTTTCAAATGACAGTTCTTACAAGAAGAAATAAAGTTTCCTTAATATCTCTACATCTAATGCTCCACTAAATAAAACCAGCTCATGTTCTGGAGTCATTATGAATGGTTAATAATGAGATCTAATCAATCAACATGTATTTTTAGCAAAGTCAGTCTCTTGTATATTCTAGCAAGCAGAATTGGAAAAAAAGGTAATGAGAAGCAGGTGCAATTTCTACAAACAAACCTGGAAGCAGATGAAAGCTTTCACACTGAAAGGTTGGAAATACTTTTTTTTTTCATTCTCAACTCAATAGATACAATCTGAAATGAACTCCTGCGGTGCTGAGGAACAGTCATGGAAGGAAGTCACCACATTACTTACAATGCCCATTCTGTAAGTTGTTTCTTCTCTTCTCTTCTGACTTCATCTTGGCCTTTATATACCAGTGACACCTTTTATAGGAGCAAACAGAAACTTATTTTACTAATTATGCAAGATAAGAACTAAAATCATTTAAAACTGATATCATCTGTGGGGAAAGTTTTTGTCATAAAGACTAATTTAAGAGTATTTTATAATATGAAAATATTCTACAGAAAATTTTTGATGCATAACAAAATTAACTCCAGATAAGAATAAAATACTGTGAAATAGATTCAAAAGATAGGAAATGTATAAACTATTTTATAATCAGACATAGCCATCATTTCCTTTCTTATATGACTTCTAATAACTAGAATTGGTAAAAGAACTAAAAATCAATATGAAAAAGTGACTTCATGTCAGAATCTCAGAAATTTAAAAAATTGTCTTCCATTTTTGGTGCTAAATGGCTTGAGGTTTCTTTCTTGATATTTGAGATTTGGTAGAGGCATATTGTATTCTCTTGCTGGATAACTGGGCTCCAGTGACTTCTTTAGCACAAATCAATTCACCAGTATCTACATGGTTCAACAATTCATAAAACTGCTAATTTCAACTGGTTAAACAGAATATATCTGCAGTACACAGTACAACCACTGAGAGTGAGTTTTGCTTCAACTTCTATGAGAATTTGAATATTTATTCAGAAATGTCTTACAGTTTTCATAGAATAATTTCAGTGAATGCTCCTCCATGAAAGTGCATAAGAGATACTTAAAATGAATTTTTGAAATATTATGTAATTTAAATAGTTCTCTCCAATATGTAGAATGTTAAGGCAGTTACTGATGTCGTATAAATTGGTAAATATAGAAATTGAAAACTGAAAATAATTTAGTACAAATTTTTCTTTATCATTAAATTCTCTTTAATGGTATTCAGGCTCTGCTCCAAGAATCCCAAGGTAATATTTGAGTTCTTCTCTCAAATTATTAGGTCCAATTTATTTAACCTATAAAGATTGAAATGTTTACATCTGTCATCATCACATTATAGCATTACTCCCCGCTATCTTCATAAAATGCTTTATTACTTGTATATGCTACTTAAATAATTGTTTACTAAAATACTGCATGAGAAATAAGGCAGGAATTCCAAGTTTACAAGACACTAGTAAATATAACTTATACACTCCATCCAATTTTGCTACATAGTGAATCATTATTAAGTAAAATATTAAAAATCAACTTCTATAATGAGTGGATGGCTTATTTTCCCTGTCGGTTGTAAATATGACAGTACTGTTAAAGTACCCTAAACTTCCAAGGAACTTTCAAACTGGAAAATAATCTTCCTGAATAAAAGTTAGCCACCATATTTAAATTATCACATTTGATTTAGCATGGTATAATATGTCTTTGGAATTAAGATTTCTTTCTAGGATCCCCTTACACTTCAGTAACTGCTCAAGGCTGTGGGCTCTAAAGCAGATGGTCTGTAAATTAGGTACAATTTCATTATCAATGGAATATTATCCAGATAACAGTGCCTAAAAATTCACACACTCAGGCAGCATCCTATTACAAAGGGATAAAGTCTGCTGATATAGTTTTTAAAACATGTAGCAATACACTACATATATGTAATTTGACCTCTCTTTCATTTTCTTTCTTTTTGGCAATAGAGATTGAATCTAGGTTCTCACATTACACATGGTAGGTAGCCGCTCTACCACTGAGCTATATCCCTAGCACACTTAAAAAATTTTATTTTAGGAGAATATCTTGCTAACTTGCCCAGCCTGGCCTTGAACTTGTGATCCTGCTGCCTTAACCTCCCAAACAAATGGGATGATAAATACAGTACACACTGTCACATCAGGGTGCAACTTGACTTTAAAATCTAATCAAATTGTCATGATTTTACAAACAAATACACTTTTATTTTGTTTTCTTTTTTCCAGATGTGAGCCTTTTACCTTCCTGAAATTTTCTTTGATTCCCCTTGTTCCCACACACCATTACTGTCTTCTGCTCCTTCTCCTTGTAAGAGAGTTCTAGGTAGGATAAGAATTTTAAAACTTTTTCAGAAAAAAAAATTAGATCTTCACCAAGAAGCATAGTGTTTGTTTCTTTGTTTTTATAACCAATTGACTCCTGCTACTGATTAGGGATTCTGCAGGCCATGTTTGGTATTTGTAGGCTATAGGATCAAATATTGTGTCTTCAAATTAGTGGTTAATTGGTATAGAGACTCCAAACTTTGCTTTCCATTTTTTATAAAAGGTTGTATCAAAGCTATGGCAAAGAAGTATTGGAGGTTAGTTGGCTCTAGAAATAAAAAAGAGAATCATAAGAGATTGCTGGGAAGTGATATCTGAATGCAAAATGGTATTTCCAAACTAGTATTCTTATTAGGAAGAAGTTATCACTATTCCTTGTCTTCATTCATGTCTTTTTTCTTATTAGTATAGCTAGCATTATTTTATTATCTAAAATCACTCTTTTAAAACAACAGATCCTGAGACTATTTCCATTTATTCTAAGAGTATCACTATGTTTATATACCTGTACTTTTTAACAGGTATAGTGGCCAATGTGCCCCCTTTACAATTCATTTTATTAAACAACCATAATTTTTAATTTTATCACTTTAGAATATTTATTGTTTTTGTTCCTTGATAAATTCTATAAAAGTAGGTTTGTTTCAAGGAAATCTTAACAGATGGCAGTAGCATTTTGTCAGGGACTCACTCTAAATAAGTGTAACCTAAGTACTAGTCATTTGTTGGTCTATAGCTTGTAATCTGGTATCAAAATTATAGATAATAACTTTTTCTATATCTATAATTATGCATATGCATATCGTAGTTTACAATTCAATGGATTTAGCAGTATTTTATATACCATTAGAGAAGCCTATTCTGAATTTCACTGTGATCTTAAAATGAATTTTAATAAAATATAGGTATCTAAGCAGAATTCTAAAAGTGACTAAAACTATGATTGTTTATAGTTTAATGAACTATTGCCCCAGAATATATCTCCTTTCTTGTGTCTGTTCATTTACCAGGTATCAGGGTTTTCTGGTAGGGTTTGTATACCCTAGCCAAAATTAGCATGGATGTTTATAATTTGACTGGCATTTGACTGGAGTTTTGAGTATTTTATAGTATATACTTACAGATTATCTAGAAGATTTATGGTACTTCTTGTGTCTCTGTTGATATGCCAGAGGTATACATTTTCTCTAAAATAACAATCTGACAAAAGTCTTGGCCAAATAGCAAGGGTAAATAAGAAATACCATGTAAGTTTTGAAACAATTTCCTGCATGTTATCTTCATTCTTCTAAATTTTCACAATCTGACCCATAGTAATCATCCAATATATTTAAGAGGTAATAAATAGTTTAATACATTATCACATCAACTCTATGTACAAAGAGAAAGCTAAGGTTCAGATGGGTGAAGCACTTCTACTTGTCAGGATTGAAATCTTGGTATTTTGCTCAGTTGAGTTTGTCATTACTTTAAAATTTCATCCATATTACCCTATGGTGGTGAAATACCAGCTTTATAAAACCAATTAATCAAATTCTAATGTGCAGGGTTTCAATATTTGATTGATAAAAACATCACTTTACTTAACACTGTTTTTAAAGATTTAATATAACTTGTCCTATTGTTTTTCCAAGAAAAGTCTTTTTCATTGTATAATCTAATTATAGTAAGGAAAAAACTCAGAATTAACTCACTGATAACAAATTTTTGATTCACACTTTTCAGACTACAATTACCAAGTGTTTTGATGATTCCATCTGCAGGAGCTTGCTGATGCCTGTGACTAATGAGGGGGTTTAAACTGCAATGTAAAGTTGAGCATCAGCCCAGAATCCGCCCAGCATCCCCCTCTCTCTCAGATGGACTTTGTTAAGGTTAGAGCATCTGAATACACAATGTATAAAAGAAGCAGTTGTTCACAGATCTCGAGAAAATCTGGATGTTTCAGTTACCTCCCAGTGATTAAGAAGAACAAGGTGAGGATAACGAGGAGCGTGAATCCTCCCACGGCCGCCGTCGCGATCACCAGAATCTGCCCTTGTTCTGCCGCCATGTCAGAAGCTGGAACACAGAGGCCATGTTAAAATTTCCTGGAGACAATTTGCTAACACAATTATGTTGCAACATAGGGGAACCAAAAACGCAACATATATGGCCTTTATTTCAGTACTTAGTGTATAAAATGCTAAGCCAAAATAAATATGCTTTGTCTGGTCATTGAGATTATCCCCCACATGAACCTTTCTTCTTCCTTACAAAAGCGTAATAAACACATTCTTGATACCCTACATTTTACGGTGAAGTACATGTTGCAAAATTAAATTAGCAGATAGATTAATGGGTTTTGTTTTACATAATTGCTCATTTATTTCCTCTAAAACAATGTGGCCAATAAAAAGCCTTTACAGATCCGGTGTCTGTTAAAAATGATTTTCTATAGATTTCATTGAACTAAATTCAGACATTCTCACTTACACAGCAGGACAGATATAACAGATGCTGAGACATTAGGAAGGTATTTGAAAAATGATATCTTAAAACTCCATTTTTCTAGAAAGAAAAGGCCAGATAACATGGAAACAACATGCTACATTGTTCGTTGACTATATATATAGATACATATTTTGACTCTATCTATCTATCATCTGTCTATCAAACCCAGGACATTGCACATGCTGAGCAAGAAAAATATCTTAAATCTCCAGGAGCTGCACATTTCACTAATCTTCAAAAATATTAAAAACTATATTAATTTAATTAATTTATTAATATTTCATGATTTTTGCATTGCTGAAGCTTTAATGAAATATAATATTTCTTGGATAGAATGAAAAATTGGTTCAGAATACAGGTAAGGAAACAGAAGCGGAGGGCAGTTGAAGAACATACTCTCAGAGATAAAAGCGAATTCAGGCCTCCAAATTTTTGTTTTATTTCCCTTCTTATACTATAATTTGCAATAATAATTGTATGTCACTATTCTATAATATTAAATCAATAAGATCTTTCAATACCTCTTACCCTGAATAAAGCCTATCTTAAAATTCTGATTGCTTGGAACAGTGATGGTGAATTTTCTAGAGCTTTCAATGATACAAAGGCTTGCTGTGGTACTTGTGCCCTAGGTTTGCCACCACAGCTACAGATAATATCCACTGATCTCATCAATCATAGAGAGCAAACTGAATCAGAGAAAACAGTCTACCAAAAATGTATACATCAGGAAAAGAAGGACTGGTGTATTTTAATGGCAAATTTATTATCATGAGGTTAATACAAGTAACCCTTGAGCTCTACAGTTACAAGAAGTGCTTGAAGTGGTGGCCATTAACTTGCAGACATTTATTAGCACTGTGAACTGCTGAAGTGTCTATACATTTTCTTTTGCAGACTCTGTATATAACCTAAGAGCAAACTGTATAATTTTGTATCATGAAAATCATTAAACTTGAGTATTTTAAGGCTTCCATAGAAATAGGTTTTTTTCTGGGAATTCGGTATGTACTACTTAAGTATGTGTGTACTACTTAATTATTAAGTAAAGATGTAATGCTCTGTGTAACTATATACCCAGAACAATGACATCTTCATGAAAGTGACACATCCACTAGAAAATATATGAACTTTAAATGTGATTGTTGAATCAGTAAGAAACCAGTCACAGCAAAGAGACTTTTAAGGAAATTTTAATGTAAATAAAAACAAATCATTTTTCAGTGTAAGAAATTTATTAAACCTTGGAATTACATTTTGGTCCCTATGATTTAATCAAGACATTATCAGGCACTCTGTTACAGAGTTGAATTTTTAGCTAGTAATCTGTGCAGAGACAAGTGAAACAGCTGCATCTTGTCCAATAAGTACTGTACTGAAGTATTTTTATTAGGTCTTGACTGAATTTCCTAATCTTCAAAATAGCACTGATATCTTGGGAATTGATGTTGTGCTATAAAATATCACATTTTCTCCTTGAAAATTAGTAGATAACAAATTTTAAGAAATTGATGTTATAGAAAATAGCATTAAAATTTGAAGATAAGAAGATAGCACTTAAAAAAGAAAACACTATTCACATAGCAACTATTGTCATTATAAAATACTAATACAGTTCAAGAGTTTTGCACATAAAAAAAAGTTTTGCTCTGTGCATGTATTTTCATAGTAGTCAGGTAACTAGTTGTCTATTTGAGACTATGTATTCAAAATGCAGAGGGGAAATAAGATTACGTGATTCAGAGCCCTTTGAAAATCAGATTACATTGTTGTAGAAAATTATGTTGCCTGCAATAATTATTGCACTGTCACTTTTACTAATACGTCTTGTTTCACATAGTTGTGATTAAATACATACATACTTTTCTTTAAAAATTTAATTGGACAACAGAATATTAAATTGTGACATTTTGAAAACTACATTTCTATATACTGGTTTCTTAGATTTCTATACTAAGGATCCTAAATACTGCTCTGGAAGAATAAAACATACAAATAACCAGTCAATTGAAAACAAGATTGTTTAGTGAAGCACATAAATGATACTTGTGATGAGGCTGGAATGATTTGAAAAATATCTGTAACATCTTTATCAACAACTCCTGTGATTTATTTAATAGTAAACTGTATTCCTAGCACAATCTATAGAGCATCAAATTCATTATGAAAATGTTTTGACAGGTAGGTGCTATTATCCCTAGTTTAAGTAGCCACATGACTTGCCTACATTCACGCATGCTGTACACAGAAAGCTGGCGCTCCAGCTCGGATTCGCCTGTCTCCAAGCCCGTGCCATTGGCTGTATCTGAACCACTGGTCAATCCACTTTCCACCCAGCTCTCTCATTGTCCTTGCACAGGCGTAGCCTTCTATGGCCTTGGTTTCCGGTCGGTAACGTTAGAATGTTGGATTACATATTCTTGTCACAATCATTTAGAGTAATTTTATGGCACTGGCCACAAGTATTGGAAGGAAATAAGCTTTGCCATATGGAAATAAGGGAAGCACCAGGATCTGGGCCGAAGCCCTTGATCCTGATGGATTTCTGCCTTCTATCATGTTAGTGTTTGTCCCTCACAGAGCTCTGATAAGGGTCTCTACAAATGCCTCCAGCATATGTCTCCAGCCCTAGCACATCATTCCCTAACCGGGCTGAATTTCTCTTAGTGCCTTGACTGAGCCAAACTTTACCTAGTGGTCAATTTCTCTTCAGCCCTGCTTTATAAATGTAGCATCATTTGGAAAGTTCTTTTCTGAATGTCTGTGTGGTTCACCCGTCGTACTGACAGGCCTTTAAACTACCTCTACAAAAAAGGTCACAGTTTATTGAAAGTACTTTTTTTGGTAACATGTCACTTCTATTGGAATTCAAATTACATTAGAGCAGGTAATATATTCATTTATGTTATCTGTAGCGAATTGAATGGTGATATTCTCTTTCCATTCCCTCAAAAAGGGGATTTACACATGTAATAAAAATCTCAGTTATCCTGGACTACACATATGGTCCCAAAGCCAATGGCACATGTCTTTATAAGACAAAAAGGGGAAGACAAAGCAGAGAAGGCCATGTACAACCAGAGGCAGAGACTGGATTTACAAAACCAAAAGTCGAAGAACATCCAGAGACACCAGAAGCTGGAAGAGACAAGGAAGGATTCTCCCTCAGAGCCTTTGGAAGGCGCATTTTTGCATATCCAAAACTGTGCCTACTTTTTACTCCACCTAGTTTGTCATAATTTGCTACAATAATCCTAGTAAACTAATACAGTGTCTAGGCTATGGAGCTTGATACAAGGTAGAATCTTAATAACTATTTCTTTGAGTGAATGAATTGAATAATTATTTGCACTAGATGGTTTGCACTGGATGGCTAGACTACTTTAGGAGTAATCTACATCTCCTTCTTTCCCTAATGTGTGAGGAAGACTTACTTTGAATGTAGCTATACAATGAACATGAAAAGAGTGTATCCAACAATAAGCAGAAAAGTTCAATGATTCTGTGTACAACGCTTCCTGGAAGACAGAAGCTATTGGAAATTCACATTTCTACACTTTACGAAACTAAGTAGGTTAAGCTCAGAAATATGAACCTAGGGTTAAGAATCAATTAATTCAATAAATATTTATTGAGCATCTACTACACACCAGGCACTGAAGTAAACATCAGGGATACAGTGATAAGTAAGATAGGCATTGTTATCGTGTACTGAACAGTACAGGACAATTTGGAAAATATACTTAATGTGCTGAGAAGGAGGAGGAGAAAGAGAAAGTGATTTTTCTTTGCTATAGCTGTAACTACTTGGATTCATTTCAAAAGACACTTAGATGAACCATTTGTTATACATCAAGTGGACTTAATAAAAAATATATATCTGTAAATCTCTCCAGTACTTGTCTGTAGTACTATTAATTTTCTTAATCCTGAGGAAAAATTATTTCTAATTAGTTTTGCAGAATAAAATGTCTCCATAATTCAGTCTTGTAAACAGTGCCAATACAGAGAGCTTACATTCTCTCAAAAAAACAAAAAATAAGAAACAAATATAATGAAGTCCATGGTAAGAAATGAAACACATTTAGGACTAGCTGATTGGAAATGTACCTTTGCTTAGTAGAAGGGGTTGTATTCTTTAAGAAAAACAAGCACATTGAAATGATTTATTTTGCTTTATGGTTTTGGAAAGAAGTACACTTTCTTAAAAGGAAGCAATTGTCCAAAAAATGGTGCACAATTGTTACTAAGCAAGGATTTATCTCCGCGCCATGCTTGGCATAAGTTACGATGACATTATTAAGTAAAGTTTGCCGTAGTTGCTTCTATTGGGAGAGGAAATGTAAAGTTCTTTGCTTGGAATAAAAATACAAAAACTAGATTCCATGTTTTTAGGAAAGTGTGTGAAAAAAGTACTTTGTCTAATTGTAACCAGTGCTTTCTTCTGTGGAGGTATATGATTCTGTCTCCCTGTCTGCAATCAAGGTTATTCTAGTTTCTATTTACACTTCAAAGTAAAATCTGTTATTTGTATTCTGTGTTACTTTCTGTGGAATGTTTTTAAAGTT